AAGTCCCCGAATTCCAGAGTTTGCTGAGCTGTTAAACCCTGTAACAGAAGACGGGGAGAGCCCCCCCCCCCCCAGCAGCTGTCACTCGGCGCGCCACTGTAGGGAAGGACCCTGACTGCTTGCTTTTTGTAAAAAAGAAAAAAATACGGAAAGACATCTGGCTCCAAGAGATGCTAAAATATGGTGACACTCGGGCCTGAGAGTGTGCCCGCTGCCCCGGCCCGGCCACGGTCCCACTGCCTGAACCACCACCACGGACACCCAGTGGGAACGAGCGAGCACGTGGCACATCCTCATTTCCCATCGGCCCAGTCGGTATTGTCTTTGGTGACCAGACGCCTGTCCACCTGTGCACCTCGGTGCGCTCCGTGCTGTGCGGCCATCAGCACTGACTGTGCGGGCCCAGGTGGCATTCACACCCCTACGATGGAGGCCCCGCACGCGATGAGCAGGCACCCAGGGGCCTGGGCACAGTGTGAGAGGGACTGTCCCGAGTGTGGCCTGGTGGTTGCGTGACTCACCCGGCACCCAGGCGGTAGAACCAGCCAGAACTGCCCTGCTCGCGTGGCCAAGTGCCGTCCGTGGTGTGGATGGGCCACGCATTTGTCCTCGTGAGTCAGCGGGCGTCAGGCACACGGCAGTGTGTGGGAGGACCTACTGCGTCGTGTCCCCTTGCTATCGGTCCAGAACACTGCCAGGTGGCACCAGCCCAGTTCCCATGTAGCCTGAGCATTCAGCTCGGAGGCTGGTTCTTCTCCCTGTCCCTGTGTTCACTGATGGACACTCCACACTTGTGGCCTCTGGACCCCGCTCTCTCTACCCAAATCCTGGACAGCACCACTCTTGACAGACTGGGAATCGGGCGGGCGGGGCTGTGTGTCTGACACGGAGCAGAAGCTCCTGATAGGAACCCCCCCTCCAGTGTGGCTGGCTGGCCGGCCACAGCCCTCTGGAAGGCGTCAGTTGGCCTGGGCACATTGCGGCAAGCAGGATCTGGCCGGTCCTGCCCTCTGCCCCCCTCGTCTGTCTGTGAAGCCACGGGGCTTAACCGGAAGTCGGGGAAGTGGTTGCTGGGAGCCCAAGGTTTGCAAAGCAAATGCACAGAGGCCTTTAGGACAACTGACCCAGCAAGCCTAAGCGGAGGGTCCACGGGGGCATCCTGTGACCCCCTGCCCTCGGGAACATGCATTCTAGAGGCAGAGACCAGCCCCTGTGGCACAGTGCCCTGTTAACCGTGTAGAACTGTAGTCGTGGCTTGGAAGGTGCTGTCCAGGACGGAAGACATTCGGGAAGGGCGTATTCAAAGCAGGAGCATTCACTGGCTTTACAAGCTGCTGGTGCATGTCAGAGGCGTGTGCAGACCCGGTGACAGGCCTCTCCTGGCCTTCTCCTTTCGGGGGCCTTCGCTCGTGACTGAGGAAGGAGGACAATTCCTTCTGTAAGCGGGCCGTGTGATCACACACAGACAGCACCCACTCCGCCCTTGCCAGTGTCCCCCCGACTGTCAGCCCCGTGAGGGCAGGGAGCTGGCCGTGGCTCAGGAGACCCCTCTCAGGCCACTGCTTCCTGTCCTGTGTGTGCGCAAGGCCCAGGGGTCTAGAAGAGCAGACCCAGCGGCAGTCGATGTAGGAGACAGAACTGTGTACCAAGAAGTCATCTTACATCAAGAAGACAGCCCAGCCTGGGCCAGCTCAGGTGCGTGGGCCCTCCCCGGCCCAGGGAGCCGGCTGTAGGGTGAAGACGCAGAAGGCTGAAGTGAGAAGCAGGGGATCCCAGGCCGGTGGGTACAGGGCCGCGTGCATCCAAGGTCGGTGGGAACGTGGCTGGAAGCCAACAGCTCTCCTGGTTGCCAGCCCACTTGCGCCCCCCACCCCAATCAAACAGTGTCCCATGGAGGGGACAGTCCCCGTGCCGCTCATAGAAAGACCACACCCCAATGGAAGCGTCACCAGGTATGACCTGCTCAGTAGGTTGCAGGTTGACATCAAATCTAAACGCCAGCCTGGTTTCCATGCCTGGGCAGGATCTGGGTGAAGGACTCAGGGGGGTGCCCAGCGCTGGCCGGAAAGGCTGGAGTCAGTCACCCCCTTCACCTACAGCTGTGAAGTGGGCAGAGAACCCACCTGACAATTGAGGCTCAGTTGAGCCCCTGACTCGAGGAGGTTTCAGACTTAGTTGTCTGGGAGCTCAGAGACGAAGAGTCCACCCCCGCACCCTTGAACTCAGAACCTGCAGGCACCAGGAGAGGTCTCAGGTGGAGAGGGGGGCCCCCTCCACAGGCGCCTGGCTTCCTGCAGCGCCTCTGGCTCCACTCGCATAGGTGTTGTCAGGGATGGGAGTCCGTACTGGGAACCCAGCGGGGAGACCTCGGCCCCGGAGGAGTGTCCAGTAAGTCAGGCCCTGAGAACCTGGTGCCCTCTGGGAGTCTACGCCTCCGCTGTGCTCCTGCTCCGCTGGGGCTCCTCCACCCTCCTGGGGGCGGAGGCAGCTTGTGAGGTCACTCACCTGCAGTCCCTGGGCCCGGCCTATGATGCGGACCACTAGAGAAGCAGCAAGGCTCAGGGCAGTGGGGGTTAGTAGGTGGGACCACGGAGGGCTGAGCAGCCTAGCGGGACTGGCACAGTAAGGCAGAGAGGGCCCCACAAGCCAAGGCCCAGCCCTGTGGCTTCGCCTGTTGTCACCCCTCACTTCGGCAGCGAGGTGGCCCAGCCTGGGACAGGGGGACAGCCTGGCAGCAGGAATGGGTTGCTTGTGTGCTACCTCCCTGCCTCTTCCAGAAACAGCTCTGTTCTTTGCTGGGTGCTCCCTGTGGAGGCGCCTGCCCCTCCTCTCCCCCTCCCCACTGCCACCTCCAGCCTCCCACTACTGCCTAGCCAGCATTTACTGCACCTGGTGCCTGGCTTAGTGGGGAACCGGCAGTGTGTCCTCCACTGTGGGGTCCTGGCTCCGGTGTTTACCCAGCAAGACCTGAGGCCATTTTCCAGGTGCAGTGACATCACCATCAACCTCGTGTCATCCGGTGCTGTCCACAGAGCAGACAGCATTGGACCCAGGAGCCGGGAGACGGGGGGTGGGGGTGGGGGGTGCACAGGGGATTCCTCTCCAGACTGCCCTGGAGACGCTGCAGGACTGAGCCGGGCAAGCTGGGGCCTGCGCAGTGCCCAGGCGCTTGGCTCAGGAGGACCCTGGTGGGAGCAGCACGTGTAGGCATCTGTCTTTTCACACTAACTTGGACTCAGGCCCTGGGAGAGCCCGGCCCGGGGGCCGGGTTGGAGGTAGTCTGGGCACCACAGTGCTCAGTCCCACCCTTGCCCCATCTGGGCTCCAGCAGTGGCATGGGCAGCAGGGGCTAGACAGGACTGGCCACTGCTGAGGAGGCAGGGGACTCCCCCAGGATGGCGCCCATGGGACCAGGTCCAGCAGGGAAGGACTCACAGGCAAGGCCAGGTGAGGGGGGTGGGGAACAGGGAGGTTCCTGGGCTCAGGAAGGGAGCCAGACCATGAAGCCTTCCAGCTGCGGGCAGGTGGGCAGGTGAGACCAAGGGCGCTGGGCCCAACCCAGAGCCTGGTATCTGCCCTGCAGGCAGCCGGCTCCTGGGGATGGCGGAGCCTGAGTCACTGCCCCTGACGGCTCCTGCTGTTTTCACGTCCCAGTCGGGTTAAAAATAGCCATCTGAGCCGACAAGCTGTGTGCGGTCTCAGCTACCCAAGTGCTTCGGTGCGAGCCTGTGTCTCTTCCTCTGTTGCTCTGTGGCGTGCTGTGGCGTGAGAAAGACTGGGCTTCCGGAAGCCCCGGGCAGCACTTGCAGTATGGCCTCAACTCGGGGGGCTGTTGTGGGGCTGCCCCCGGTACTCCAACAGCCAGTCCTGGGCGGGCTGCTGAGCAGGGCCACCGTTCTCAGCGCACAGCCCCCCAAGGGCCCTGCAGGGGTGCTGGCCGCAGGCCGAGGATAAGGCACCTCAGGAGCAGGCTGCCCAGGCCAGATGTGCTCAGCCCCGGGGCCCAGCCCCACCCCCAGCCAGGGGGACTGCACAGCGTGGTGCCTGCTGGTCAGGGCCAGGAGTAACACTCTGAGACCAGGAGGGCACTCCCAGGGACCCTGCCTGTCCCCGCAGCAGTGCAGGGAGCGATGGCAGGCGGTGTATGGCCAGCCATCCCCGGCTGGAGGCTCCTGGGCCACCAGAACCCTTTCTTTGTGCCCCACCCCCAGCCTGAGAAAACTGACGGGGTATGTGCCAAGGTGCCCTGTGGGACTGCGCTGGCGTGTGGGAGCGAATGCTAGGTGGCAGCCTGTCAACAAGCTTCACGGCTTCTAAGATCACCGGCAGGTTCCCGAGTGTGTCCAGTGCGGGTGTGCGGAATGGAAGGAGGGGAGGCAGCCTCCCTCCAACCAGCAGGGGACACTGCCCTGGCAGGAAGGCCTGTGCTCCAGCTGCGCACAGTGCAGGCCCTCGCCCTTCCTGCCCAGAAGCAGGCCGTGCCCCAAGTTGGGGCCTGGAGGCCCCTTCATGCGTGGGCTTGGGGGACACTGGCGTCAGACCTGGTTCTGGCAGCTGGACCCAAAACTTGGGTGACCCAGACTGGGACTCGCTGCACAAAGGCTCATCTGACCAGGACGGTGGTAGGAAGGCAGGTCCATTCGCCCTGGTCCGAGAGCCGCCTGGGGGTCCCTGTCGCAATCACGGAGCGTGCCTCCCCCATCCTGGCCCATCCGGAGATGTGCTGCTGCTGTCCGAGAGCCCAGAGGCCCCTCGGCGCTGCCTGCAGCTGTGCTCAGAGGGGTGCTGGGAAGCCAAGCAGTAGGCCCAGCGCTCGGGGTCCAGCCTGTCCGCGCCCCCCCCCCTCCCATCCCCCGCTCTGTGGGACCCTCCAAGGCTGCCTCAAACTCCCGCTGGACCTGTGTTGCCTGGGGCACCTGAGAGGAGAGCAGGGTGGGCCCAGCACCCAGGGGCCCGTGGGAACCGTGCTAACGCCTGCCGGCCTCTCTGTTTGGTTCCAGCGAGAAGCGCCACCTTCCAGTCACCGTCACCAACCCCGTGCAGTGCAGCCTCCACGGCAGGAAGTGCACTGTCTCCGTAGAGACGCGCCTCAACCAGCCGCTGCCCGACTTCACCAAGAGCCGCTCCGGCTTCACCCTCAGCGTGCCAGGGAACTGAGCGTCCAGCCGGCCGCAGCCGCTACCGCCACCGCCACCAATGCCTTTGCTAACGCCCTGCTAGAAATCAGCCCCACAGGCCCTGCCTGGGGAGGGGCCCCTCCAGAGCTCTTGAAGACCCCTCCCCTTAAGGTTCCTTTCTGCCTTTGGTCGCCACTGCCTCCTTCTCTGTCCACTGTCCCCACTCAAGAAACCAAAGACCCTGGTGTCCTGCTGCAGCGCCACGCCTCCCCGGGAGCCACAACGGATGGCCGCCCTAAAAAGCCAGGTCCCGCGCCTCAAGCTGGGGGCCAGCTGGTGAGCTCTGGAAAAGAATGGGGGCCAGGATGTGCTCCCCGAGATTTGGGGTGATGGGGTGGAACGGAACCCAGCCCTCACCTGCTCCCCACGGTGGCCCCAGTCCCATGCCCTCGAGGCTGAACCACCACGTCCAGCTCAGGGAGGCTCTGCCCTACCTGGAGCAGGCAGCCACGACCCAGCAGCCTGACTCAACCCAGCAGCCTGCTCTCCGCTGCCATCCCATCCGTTGGCGGCCCTGTGGTGCCCACATGGGCCTGGGGTCCTCATGGGGAGTGGCGCTGCAGAGGCGAGGGGCGAGCACGTGGTGCGGACGCCTCCCTCCTGAAGAAGGAGAGGGCCGCAGCTTACAGGAAGCAGCGCGAGAGACAGTGTGGGGCCCTGGCACTGCTGGCCAGGCCGGGATGCGCCCCTTCACCCCAACCCACCCCTGCCCGGGGCCACCCAGACTGGTCCTCATGCTCCAAGATGCCACCCTCTTGCCACTCTGCCGGCACATGGCCCGCCACGCCCACTGGGTGGGGAGGCCAGCCCAGGTACGGGGTCCGAAGCTCCGCAAGTGTGTGACATGACAGGGACACGCACAGAGGGACTTCACTTCCCCACACCTCACTGCTGCCCCACCCACCCCAAGTGCCTGGCCGACCCCAGGCGGTCCCTAAAACCTAGCCTCAAGCCCACCCAGCCCCTCCCCAGGGCTTGCAAAGGTTTGCACTGTGTGCAATTTGCAAGAGTCCTGCTGGCATCCTGTCCTGGGGCCCCAGCCTCCTCCTGGGAGCAGGTGGCCACGGTCCAAGGTGCCACCAGCCCCGCTCCGCAGTGCTGTTTTGCCAATGACCCGCGGTCACTCGTGGGACCATCTAACTGGAACGTGACCTCTTGTTCCCCTTCCTCCCCCAGACTTGCTGCTTCACACTAGACACATGCCAGTCAGTGCATGTTGTGGTCGCACCAAAACAGTATGCCAAACGAGGTGCCTTTGTCGGGGCTGCAAAGAAGGGGAGGGCCTGGTGTTTGGCTCCCCGCCTTCTCTCCGTCCTCCTCCCCCACCTCTCTAGGTTGCCTGGGGTGTCCGGGTGGATGAGGCCCCAGGGACTGTCCACAAGCACCTTTTTTATGCTGTCCAATAGCAGCCAGCAAGTAGTGTCACGTGGTGGTTGAGAGGGACCAGGAATTCAGAGTGTGATCTCACACACGGATCCAGGGTGTGGAGAAGAAAGGACAGGAATGTGGTGACTTGTATGCAATGAAATGTTTCTCCAGATTTAATTAAATGCAATTTTAGGGTTTGGTGCATATATGTCTATTTTCCATTAACTTAACTTTATTTCTAAAGCACATTCTGATTTACCATCAACAGCAATAAAAGCATTAAGTCTTATTTTTGAAAGTGTTCTGTGTATGTGTAACAGAAATAGATCTGTGGTGGTGAGATCTGGGGTATAGCCAATTCTGTGCCCAGAAAAGGGCTCACTGCCATCGAGTCAGTTCTGACTCACGGCGACCCTGCAGGACAGGCCAGAACTGCCCCTGCAGGTTTCTAAGACTGACTGGCAGCGTAAGTAGCAAGCCTCATCTTTCTCCCTGGAAGTGGCTGATGGTTTCAAACTGCTGAACCTGCTGTTAGGCCAATGTGTAATAACCATGGCACCTGGGAACCCTTCCCTCTGCCAGCACGGCCCAGCTCGGCCCCTAGACCTGGGAGCTCCCTGTATGGCCTCAGAGCGTGTTAATCGATTTGAAGGCATGTTAGAATTTGGAAGGTGGAGGCAGAGTGGGAGAGAGAACTGCTCGGGTCAGTCCCCCCCAGGAGGAGGGAGGGAGCTTCAGGAGTAACAGGGCTCCCCCAGTCCCTGGAGGGCTGGGAGGGAGCCTCCAGATGTCCTGGGGTGGGTCTTGGGAAGGATGGCCTCCCTGGCTCTGCCCCAGGATAGACGGCCCTGGGGCTCATGGCGTGGCCTGGCTGCCTACCTGACTTTGAGGACGAAGCCGCCGCCGGGGAGTAGCTGCTGCTCTCAGAGGCCTGGGGCTGCTGTTTCTCTGAAGCCTGCCCCGGGCTGGGCCACACTGCTGGAGTCCACTCAGGCTGGCCCAGGAGTCTGGGGACTCACTGAAGCAGCCGCCTTTGGGGCCAGGCCTCCGGCCAGGCAGCCAACCAACCCGGCTCTCAGCAAAGCAACGCCTGCCCTGCCCCGCCTCCCCGGCCCCACCTGGCAGCACTGATGCAGACCAGGCTTAACCTGAGTCTGTCTCTTAATCACCTTAATGTGTTGTGAAGGCCAACTCCCTCCTCCCACCCTGGCCCTCTCCCCTCCCCAGCTGCACAAATCCAATTATATTCTGAGCACATGCATCACTTATTAACGCTCCCCCCCACCGCCCCCCAAGCCTGCTCAGGAATAACGTGCCCACAAGAAGAGGTCTGTGCCACGGATGGTCAGTGCGTTTTATTTAATCAGCACGGTACAAAAATAAATAAAAATCAGGGAGGGGGGTTAAATTACAGCCAAACCGAGCCCCATGACGCGGTCAGATTATAAATCACACATCCTCACAAACACACTACACACACATACAAGAGGAGACAAATATAAATTAATGTTAACAGTACCCACAGTTTGGTCAAAGAATCGCTAGAGAAGAAATTGCACTATAAAACCAACACACATCGCACATGGATTAGCAGTCTCAGATACACGGCTAGGAATAATGCCAAGGGGGTAGGAGGAAAGAGGGGGGCTGAAAAGATGAGAGAATGGCACGTTTTCTTTTCATTGCAAGTTTAACACCCGTTGGAACAAAACTAAATCCTAATAACGGCATGGAAAGAATCTATCAACCCTTCAGGTTCACAAGAGGAGAGAGAAACCAAGTCCCAGGCGGTGGTGCTTCCTGCGACTGGTTTCTGTGCATGGGCGCTGTTTCCACAGCCATCTGCTCTAAGATGAGTGTGTGTTTTTAAAGACACAAAATGCTCCGGGTTTGCATGCACGATATCACTGTAAAAGCAACAGTTAAAGAATAAAGAAGGTTCTTGTTTCTGTAGGTCAGTGTTCTCCTTCCTTTGTGGTGTTGTCAAAAAGTAGTCTCGTAGCAGCACGTCCAGTGGGTTCGAGGCTCGCACACTCGAGAAACCAGTGGTTCTTCACACAATACTGACGCCAGGGCCGGCCGGCCGGCCGGGAAGGGCAGCCGCAGGCTCCACGGGGGTGGGATAGGACAGCCCTTTGCCTTAGTCCCCGACCACTCCTGAAATGTGCACCCCTCCCCCAAACCAAAAAATAATAAATAAATACCTAGAGAGAGAGAGAGAAGGAAACAGACGGAAACTGAAGCCCTGCAGGGTGACTTGACCACACAGGCTCCGGCCAGGTCCAGCCGCCCACTGCGAGACTGCAGCTCACGCTGAAGGCTGGGCTCCCACCCTCCTCCCGCCACGCGGCCTCGCCCCTACGGCCTCCCACCTGAGTCACACGTGGCGGCAGGAGCTGGACAGACAGGCGATGTGACGGCTCCAGCAGGGAAGAGGCGCCCGTCTCAGCCATGGGCCAAGGGTTCCCTCCTGCCCTGCGTGCCAAGACAGCAGTCCAGGGGGCGGCTCAGGTGGCCTCTTGGAGTTAGGGTAGATGCTCGCTCAGCCAGGTAGGCCCTCATCCCCATCTCCGGGGACCCCGCGGGCTGGCAGGTTCATCTGTTCTCCAGGCTTCAGCAGGGTCTTCCTTTCCGTGGACTTCAGTAGAGCTGTGCAGAACCTGGCGGCCACGGCCCCCCACAACCCTCCTCCTTCAGACAGCCTTCCTTGGGCACTGCCATGTGGCCGGGCTGGGAGAACGAATTCTCAGGGTGGCATCATTGTTCCCCAGAGCCACGGAAGAAGGCTGGCTCCCTCTCTCTCAGCCCTCCCCCAAGCCCCGAGCCGCCACCCATCTGGGGGGACTGTTAAGAAAATCCATACAGCAGCTCAGCATGTTTTCACAGCCAGTGGGGGAAGGGGGGCACCAGAGCCAGCAGCTGCGGGCACCCAGTGGTCCACTCAGCAGCTTCCAAAGCAACCTGGAGCCGCAGGGAGGCCCGACCCAGAGGGTTTCGGGCCTCCCTTTCTGAAGAGATGGAGACAGTTTTAAATTAGGGGGGGGGGGGCACATCATTATCACGTCACCCCGTTCCTGTCATCGCCCCCTTCCCTCAGCTCTGCAGGACCAAGGCCATGTGCACCAGTCCACAAAAGGGCCTGAGCCCCCGGTGGGCAGCAGCCAGGCCTCAGGCAGGGCACCCCCGCCTCACCTGGTTCTGGCCACTTGGGCACTGCCACCGTCTGAGCAGTCATCACAGGGCAACTAGGCTGCATGATTCAAATGACTGGTTCACCCAGGACGGGGAGCTGTCGTTACCCCACCCCTTCGGCTGGGACCCAACAGGGAAGAGCTTAAGAGTCGCACCAGCTCATCATCAGCCAGCACGCTGGCAACCCTGCCTGCCAGGGGCCGCTCACAGCTCGGTGGGGGCCGCTTCCACTAAAGGGACGGCCTTCTCCCTAAAAACAGAGAAAGAACGCCAGGGCTGAACAGGGTCAACCCCCAGAGTACCCCCTCTGCACCAGACCAGCCTGCTCCTGGGGGTGCCGCCTGGCCTCGGCGCCACGTCCTGCTCAGGCGGGGCTCTGGGACCACCCAACACAGGGGCCAGGCCGGGGTCTCCCACGAGATGACCTGACCCACCCTGGTTTCCTCAAGGGCACGGGTGGCGGAAGTGGGTCAGTCCTTTTGAGTTCCCCCAAGTCAGAAGAGAGTTCAGCGGCAGGGGGAGTGGGGGTGGGGGGGGGTGATCTGAGGCGCCCACCTCCCGGGCTTTGCTTGCTCCAGGTTCCGGTTCCGAAGGGCCCTGGGAGTTCTTCACAGGGCTGGAAAAAAAATGGCCCGAGGAGAGAAAGTAGGGAGGGGGATGCCCTTGGTGGCTTTGCTAGACACATACTGTACACAAAACGGATTTGTTTGATAAGAAATCTTTTAGAAAATGCATCGAATCCTTGAGCCGGGACGCAGGCCCCGGGGGCTCACCGATCCAGCCCCAGCAGGAGGCGTTTCTTGTCCTCCTGGCCGCTCTCGTTCTTCAGGTCCGAGAACACCTGCGTGAAGTAGTGCGGGTCCGCATTGATCTGCAGCATCTTGGAGCTCATGAGGTTGATGACGGAGAGGCAGCGGTCCCAGAAGGCCTCCTTGCAGCTCTCCACCAGGAAGGGCTTGAGCGGGTAGGAGATCTCGTTGCCCATGTAGGAGTAGGAGAGGTACAGGCAGGTCAGCAGGACGGCCTGGAGCTCGTGGTCCGAGCCCACCTCGGAGGAGATCACATCCCGGCACAGCATGTACAGGAAGACCACGTTGGCCGGCGTGATGAAGCCCTGGTCCTGCCAGCCCTGCAGAAGCAGCGAGCGGTCCACGCTGCGCAGCCAGAGCACGGGGTCCGTGGGGGACAGGTGCTTCAGGCGGTAGCACCGGCGACACAGGAACTCGCCCAGGCAGCGCAGCAGCTCGCTGGTGGACGCCTGGACGATCACTCGCTTGGGCGTACCCGCGGAGCTGACGGCGGGGTGCGGGGCCTTCTTGACGGACGAGGAGACCCCGCTCTGGGAGCCCGAGAGCTGGCTGGCAGGGGGTGCAGGTGGCTGGGCCGGCGGGGGATGGGCGAACGTGGACAGGTTGGCGCACGACAGCGACTTCTTCAGGTTCTCGTTATTGAGGTGCGTGATGTTGTTCTGGTAGCTGCTGTGGGGCTGCACCTTCTTGGAGTTCTTCTTCTTGGCCGACACGGCCACGATCCGCTTCCACGGGAGCGCGGAGATGATGGAGTGCCGCTTCAGGTTCTTGTCCTTGGCGTTCTTGCTGTTCTGCACGGCCGTGTAGTGGCCCACCGTGGCCGCGCCATCCTCAAATAGCGTGGCCTTCCGGTAGCTGGGGGACAGCGACAGCACCGTGCCCATGGTGCCGTTGTGCGCCCGGCGGGGGCCCGCGCCCCTGCGCGCCCAGCC